CCCATTCGGAGCACCTGTTCTCTTTGTCCCCAAGAAAGAGGGAGAGCTTAGAATGTGTATAGACTATAGGGGTCTGAATGCTATCACAGTGAAGAATGCAAAACCATTGCCCCGTATAGACGATTTGTTAGACCGGGTGCAGGGCTGCAAGTATTTTTCGAAGATAGATTTAAAGTCCGGCTATCATCAGATAGAGGTTCACCCTGATGATCAGTATAAGACAGCATTCCGGACTAGGTATGGGCATTATGAGTTTATAGTTATGCCCTTTGGATTAACCAATGCGCCAACGACTTTCCAACGCTGTATGAACGATTTGTTTAGGCTGTGGCTAGATAGATTTGTTGTATTATATCTAGATGATATCCTAGTGTTCAGTAAGACCCTCCAGGAGCATGACAACCATCTAATGCAGGCCTTGGAGAAGCTTAGAGAAGCAAACTTCAAGATCAACGCAAAGAAGTGTGAATGGGCCAAGACACAAGTATTGTACTTGGGCCACGTCTTAGACGGAGATGGCGTTAGACCTGAAGATAGTAAGATTGCAGCGATTAGAGACTGTCCAACGCCCCGCACATTGACAGAGTTGCGGTCGTTCTTAGGCCTAGCTAATTATTATAGGAAGTTCGTTAGGAACTTCTCCACCATCGCTGCACCCCTTCGCAGGTTACTAAAGAAAGAGGCAATCTGGAAGTGGGACAAGGACTGTATAGCTGCCCTGAAGAGATTAAAGCGGGCCCTGATAGAATATCCTGTCCTTAAGGTAGTCGATCTGTCCCTGCCTTTCGTTGTTACCACTGACGCGCGTCAGTATGGCAAAGGTGTTGTTCTACAGCAAGACAATGGCAATGGATATAGGCCCGTAGAGTTCATGTTCGCCAGGATGCCTTCAGAAAAGGTGGCGACATCCACTTATGAGAGGGAATTCTACGCTCTCAGGCAAGCACTAGAACACTAGAAGCACTACTTGCTTGGGAGGCACTTAAAAGTTTATTCAGACCACGAGACTCTAAGGTGGCTGAAGACTCAGGCCAAGATGACACCTAAGGTTACTAGGTGGGCCGCAGAGCTAAACCAATACAACTTTGAACTGAAGTCAGTTAAAGGAAAGTACAATGTAGTAGCGGATGCTCAAAGCAGAAGAGCTGATTACTTTGGGGCAGTAGTTCATTATCTAGATATAGAGAGAGACCTGCAGCAGAAATTTAAAGAGGCATATGCACAGGACCCTATCTATAATGATCTCCTTAAGAGAGTTAGGAAGGCCCCAGAGTCTGAGCCAAACTACCGCACTACTGATGGCTTATTATTCGAGAAGACTAATGTAGTTGACCGCTTGTTCGTTCCCAACAGTGAAGAGATCCGTAGTTTGATCTTAGGGGAATGCCATGATACAGAGGGACACTTTGGCTGGCAAAAGACACTAGCCAACCTCATGTGCGCGTACATTTGGCCTGGTATGAAGGCCGACTGCATAGAGTATGTCCGCAGTTGTAAAGTCTGTCAGCGAAACAAGACTACTACGCGAGCTCCTTTTGGTCTTCTCAGACCCTTGCCTATTCCTGACAGACCCGGAGATTCTGTGTCCATCGACTTTATGGATACTCAGGTCAAGAGTAGGCATAGCAAAAGTCAAGTCATGGTCATAGTAGATAGATTTAGCAAGTATGCAGTTTTTGCTCCTTTGCCTGCAGAGGCAAGCACATACTTAGTAGTTCAAAAGTTTTCTTACCATTGGGTCAATGAGCATGGTATACCGCTGTCCATAGTTAGTGACAAGGATACCAGATTCACCAGTCCGAGCTGGCAGGAGGTGATGAAAGTTTATGGCTCAAAGTTGCTGAGGTCATCTGGTCGCCATCCTGAGACTAACGGCCAAACTGAACAGATGAACAAGCTCCTACAACAACTTTTTAGAATGTACATTAGGCCCGATCAGATCAACTGGGATGACATGCTCCCAAAGGTAGCCAGTGCCTACAATAACAGCGTGCACTTATCTACGTGTCGCACTCCAACCGAATTGCACAAGTCCTTCAGACTGCGCAGACCGTTCGAGGGATTTAACTGCAATCAGATTCAGAGGCTACCGCCTGGTACACGAGAGTTTGCGATACAGCACGAGAAAGAGATAGCTACCGTTGTTGACAACCTCGGGAAAGCCCAGCACAGAATAATAGAGCAAGCTAACAAGCACCATCGCCCCTCACCGTTTCAAGTAGACGACTTGACCCAGTAGACGACTTAGTCTGGGTCAATTCAAAAGAGTTTGCTGCTGAGGAGAACATTTCGCAGAAGTTGTTACCTGCGTATAGAAGACCGTGGCCAGTTCTGGAAGTCAAGGGTGGCGAGGATAGACCGTCCTATACTAATGAGATTCCAGCACACCTCCACACCTACCCAGTGTTCCATGCGTCAAAACTGTTACCTTGCGTTACAAGTCAACAGTTTCCATCACGCAGATCTATGATTCCTCCAGATATGGACGGAAGATATGACATTGGAGGAATAGTAGGTGAGGATGTCTTCAGGACGGGAGGTAGAGTTCGTCCCCAGAAGCAATACAAAGTCAGATTTGCCTATCAAGAGCCAGAAGACGACCACTGGTTCACGCGAACAAAACTTATAGAGACAGCTCCCGATATAGTACAAGCCTACAAAAGAGATAAGAAGGGTAAGGGTCCTGCCTTAGACTGAAATATTCTCGGAGGACCTCAAATTTAGGCCGGCGGGAGTGAAACGGTTTTCACCTTTCTGCAGTCACGGATGCGGGCCCTAGAGTTCGATCCCCAGACCTCACTTTGCCCATGTACAGTATCGAGTCGACCCCTGAGTGTTCGAACCCGTGATCTGTGTTTTGGTAGCTGTTTGTCGTCTGTCGTAGGCCTGTGTAGCGGTAGGGGTTTGATCTGTAGGTCTGTTGATTTGGAGTCACAGCTCTGTAGATGCTTTGAAAGGTCAAGGCTGCCACAGTTCTGAAAGGTCAAGGTCGTAGCTGCTACAGTTCCCAAAAGGCCAAATCCACAGACTTCCGGAAGGTCCGGAAGTGGCCTTTCGAAGTGTCTCATGTTTTAGTCAGAGGCAAGTGGGCAAGTGGTGAGCCCAACGGCACTACCTTGGCAGTGCGACTGCATCGAGTTGGCAGGGCAAACCCATGCAGTCGGCGGTACCGGTCCCAGTCAGTCAGAGTCCAGACAACCAAGTACCGTGTGGGACTGTGTACACCAAGGGGCTGGAAAAGGGGCAGACCAACGAGTTACAGAAGTATAAATCAAGAGGCAGCGCCCAGCCATTCATCGATTCACTGCGTAAGCCATGCGGAAGCGCTGCTACAGCGTCTTGTGCAAAGGTGGTCTGCAGGTTGCCCGAAGTCGAAGTGGGCTGAAGAGAGACTGTAGCCATAGCCAGTAGTGTTAGTGCGGCCATAGCCACTGTAGGAGGGAGACAAAATCTGAGTGTGTGTGTGGGTGTATTCAGGGTGATCCAGAGTTGAGGAGAGTTGAGGGCGTGCGAACAGTGGTGTTGGACGAGGCGACCAGAGTTGGGATGACCAGGCGCTGTTGCGCCATAGCCTATTGAAGCGAACTTGCATCTGAACTGTGTTCTTGTTGTCCATATCTCTGAGCTCTGAGTGGGCGCCCTGCGCCAGTGTGACTCATCACCTGTTGGCATGTATGTGAAGTGGAAGTGAAAGCGAGTCTGATTGCGCAATCAACAGGAGCACACTACTTTAATTTGCTCTTGCAGAACTGCCGATCCACAAACACAGTGGTCATACTCTGGTTTCCAATTGCCCAAGTGTCGCTCAACAAGTCATTTGGTCATACAAATGAATTTAATTGAACCTGGAATTATTTGATTTGTATATCATTTTGATAAGCAGATACTTTGTTATTGTGTCCCGAAACAGGGTCTGCTAGAAATTAAGCTCAGCGTATTTTCTCTGATATATATATATATATCGTCAAATATATATATATATCGTCAAATAGAACTGCCCGGTAAACCGTAGGCAGAGAGGGAGAAGAGGACAACAAACGAGGGGCTGTGACAAACTGTTTCGTCGGAGTTTCACCGACTCATCAGGAAATATATCGTCACAAACAGAACTGCCCGGTAAAACCGTAGGCAGAGAGAGAGAAGAGGACAACAAACGAGGGGCTGTGACAAACTGTTTCGTCGGAGTTTCACCGACTCATCAGGTATATATATATATTTTCCCAATCCTCAGCCGAAGATTGAGTTTGGCACTCAGCGCATGCATCATATGTAGCATGCTGCTTTCTGCAACTGCAATCCACCCACCAGCACCAATCCGCCCCAAGAAGCTAGCCGGGTGTTTCTTCCTTCCTTCTGCACTACGACGTTCCGTCCCCCTTCCCACTTGTCCCTTTTCCTCCAGGTGTTCAAATACCATTATGTTCCATTCAGAGTATGCAACCTGCTTTTCTCTGCAAGGGCATTCCATCCACAACTCTGGAAGAGACTCGAGAAGCTAGCCAGTTCTTTTTTCTTTCCTCCTGAACTACCATCCCATCAACATCCTCTCCCCTCCCCCCCCCCCCCCACCCCCCCCCTCTCCCACTCTTTGTCCACTATCTTTCCTGTTTCAAATGTAATTCTGTTGCATGTGAAAGTGTGTCATTGGTCAGTCTGTTTTTCATGACTTTACTGATTCAATACCGGATCTTTCTGATGACTACCTACTGCAAATCCCTAGATGATCCTTGTCCTTCATGGCCACTGTGAATATTTTGCTTGTTCACAGTATGCGCACTGCTCCAATGCGTTCAATAATGGGACAGCTTTGAGAGGAAGCAGTGGGGAGGCGGAAGTTTCAGACCATGCAAGTTCTCTTGGTCGGGAAGGGTGAGTGGGTGGGGGGTGCTGTTATTGGATTATTACTATGGTTAGTTAAAGTTTAGAGTTGGGTTGGGTCCTTGGGACAATTCTTGCATTGCATATAGGAGGAGGGAGAGGGATCACTACAAGCATCATACCTGGAGGTCTCCCGCTGCAAAAACTCCCTCTACGTTTGTTTGCCCACCAGCTCCTGCAACAACGTAGCCATTATCATCTAGCTTGATCTGCCCTTCAAAAAGTCTGCTGTTCGGGGTGTGACCAATACCGTAAAACAGGCCTTTCACCTCTAAAATCTTTGTCTCATTGGTTAGCTGATCCCTCAATACCACGCCGCCCATGTCACCTCGTGGAGAAGGCACAACATCCTCGGTAACAACGTTGAAGTGAACGGTAATGTTGGGATTGTTCATGACCCTGCCCTATCCACACATCGACACCACCATCATGCGAAACGTAATCCGCGACTTGTCAGAAACTTTCCCGTAATTTAGTACAAAAGGTATTATTATATCATAAATTCATAATAGAAGATCCAAGCCAGCAGCTCCAAGCTTTCCATATGCCTCAGGCAAGTCGCAGCATTCCCACCCATGGTCGCTTCACCCGATCGCATCCTTTCACAAGACAAGATAGACGGCCACGTGAGAGCGGGACCTTGCCATGCTGGTGGGAATGCTACTCGCCTGGAACAAGAAGCAACAAGTCAAGAGTTCAAAACACACCCAATTGCAATCAGACTTGCTTTCAACTTCCCTTTCGACATGCATGCACACAGATGCCGATGGCTGACACTCTCACAAGGCAGAATCAGCAACAAGCATGAGATGGCGCACTGCGCCCACACAGAGAACTCAGATATATGGCCCTTGGCCAGAAACCCAATATAAGTCAACTTGTTACAGCTTGCGGCTATGGCGTCTGAACGCCCGCCTAAAAATCCCACCTGTTCACTGTGTCCACCATCAGACACACTCGCACTCACTCGCACTCAGATACACACACATGCAATAACCCGCTCAAATATGCCTATGTCGTCGGCCAAGAGGGCCACACGCAGGGCACGAATCGGCCCTAAGGCCCTGCGTCCAACTGTAGGGGAACAGAACCCCTGAAACCTGGCTTCGGAGGGCCCAGCGCCCGACAGTTGACCGAAGTCAACCGTACTTCGGAATATCGGGGCTCACGAGTCAAAGTCTTCACGGACCCAGTCCAGGCCACCGATCAGACACACACACTTGGTTGCACGCAGGTATCCAGGCAGCATTCGGTCCAAGTGGAAGTCTGCAACTGTACAAGATCAAGGCCGTCGGCTGTGAGTCAATCTGAGCCTCCGTACGTGAGACACCATAGGCTGGTCAAAGTCGTCAACACTATTTATTGACCCAGCCCCTGGGAGTCAACAGTCAGGCTCGCCTTGCTGCTTGACGCTGACTTGACACTGGCTTGACGCTCGCTGGACGCTGGCAAGACGCTGGCTCTACAATGGCATTGTGCGACGACGACGCGAGACTGCTGCTTTTGCGTGCTGGCGCCTCTCTGATTCTGGGGTCAGCTGTCTTCTTGGATGCTGATGTGGCACTTGCCACGATGTCTTTGGCATTGCTGACATGGCGCATGCCACACTGTCTTCAACGCAGATTGGAAAGGCGAAAAGGAGGGAGATCATGATCTGTGGGATTGATTAAGTGAGAGAGAGGAAACTCGCTTGTTGATGCCGTCGACATAGCGTGCTGCACAGACGTCTTCATGGGAGAATTGTGCCTACATGGCACTAAAATGTGATCAGATCTTGTCAGACTCATTTCTGGGACACTGTTTGCTGACGTGGATGAGAGGAGACGCCTGTTACATGCTGCGCCTGCAACAGGCTGCAAAGGCCACTTTTCAGGCCCGTGACGTTTTCAGGCCAAAAGCCTGAAAACAAGGGCCTACAGGCCCTGTGTCGTTTCAGCCTGAAAGCCCGAAAACAAGGGCCTACAGGCCCTGTGTCTTTTCAGGTTTCGGTCCCCGAGTGTTTTCAGCCTGAAACTGAGGACCATTTTCAGGCCCTCGTCAGTTCGATCCGCCCTGAAACTCAGGCTCCAAACCAGGGTTTTAGCACAGGCCATTTCGGGCCTGTTTTCAAGACAACCACTGGTTGAGCTTCAACGCCAGGGTCCGGCACGTTTCGGCATCGGCAAGAGCAGCCTCCGGGACGGCCCAGCACTATATAGGACTGGCCCGCCCTGCAGGCAGGAGGTAGTTCCTAGGTACTTCCCAGGCACTTCACGTGCAGTTCAGGAGGCAGGAGGTAGTCTTCAGGATTCGGCAGCAGCACTCTGGAGGAGCGCTGCCGTAGTAGTAGTAGCGCTAGCAGCAGTCTTCAGCGCTGGGCGCTAGTAGCGTTAGCAGTAGTCTTCAGCGCTGGGCGCCTAGGAGTTATAGTACTAGAGAGAGAGAGATTGCGCGGAGGCCAGGGAGACTTACCTGCAGCGCCATTGCTATACTAGAGAGAGAGAGATTGCGCGGAGGCCAGGGAGACTTACCTGCCGCGCCATTGCTCCAGCTTCGTCTTCGAGGTACCTGCAGCGCAGCGCCATCTTCACAGGTTAGTCCTGGAACATGGGAGAGAGAGAGTTCTTCTTCTTCCTCTTCTCAGTCCACCATCTCCTTCTCACCCTGTCGCTATCTGACTTCACTGCATCAGCAGACTAAGAGAGAGAGAGAGAGAGAGAGAGAGAGAGAGAGAGAGAGAGAGAGAGAGAGAGAGAGAGAGNTAAGAGAGAGAGAGAGAGAGAGAGAGAGAGAGAGAGAGAGAGAGAGAGAGAGAGAGAGAGAGAGAGAGAGCTTGGTGACATTTGGATCCAGACTCGACATTGGACTTCCGACATTTTGAAGAGGGATTATTTGGGACTTGTAACGAGACTTGGGGTTGACAACTTTCCCATCTCTCCCCCTCCTCTTTGTCGTCTGATCCCCTCCTCTTCGTCTGTGCATATCTGGACCTGGCGCCTCCTTCCTGTGTATGGCGCCAGGCCCCTTCACACCTTGTGATGAGCATGATGTATGCTTGGTCTGCCTTGCAACTTTGATTGGGCTAGTCATTGGTATTCTAGCATTCTGCTACGCTGTCTTGCACTACGTGATAGAGGTCAGTCCCGGTGTCGGGCAAAAACCCTAACAAGGGTATTTGCCGGTGTTTTTTAACGTCGGACAAAAGTTTTCAGACTTTAGTCCGGACGCATGTGACGTCCGGGGGTAATGGATGTGAACGACAATGCTTCGCTTGTCGAAGCCGCAGGAACGTGCGGACATGGGAGTGTTAAAATTAAACCTATTCTACCTAAGCAGCCGCGCGATTCAGGGCATAAATGGGCTAAAAAGAGGGATGCGTCGGGTATGCGGCCACGACACAGAAGGAATAGGAAGTTTTATTTTTTTTGGGGCCGCAGGGCTTGACTTCGAGCCTGGGGGCCAATAGGCTGATGCCGAGACCTACCCGGCTAGATGTCCAATCAAGCCGCCTGTCACACGGTTAACTGGTATGGGAGGCCACGGGCAGGCGGCGCCGGTAGGCCACAGGCGGGGTAAGCCAGTAGGCCACAGGCGGGGTAAGCCAGTAGGCCACAGGCAGGAAGGGCCTGTTAGGCCACAGGCGAGGGGCCTGTTAGGCCACAGGCGAGGGGCCTGTTAGGCCACAGGCGGGACAGGCTTGCTAGGCCACAGGCAGCTGGAGCCTGCGAGGCCGCAGGCTGAGAAAATACCTGGGCCAGCTCTTCATATTAAAGAGCTGCTCCTGTTCAGTGTGGAACAGGAGCGAGCCCGGTAGGTTAACACAGCAGACTACTACCCAACGGACACCGGGATCGAATCCAAGAAGTGGCAACTACCGGGCTAGCTCCTTTTGGAGCAGCCCAGCCTTTTGGCGCGACCGATTTCCGCCGTGCGATCAGTAAGATTGTGCGGCTGAAAACAGCCGCGCGGAGGATTGCATGGCCCCTGCACAAAGATGACACGCATAAATAAAAAAGAAATAAAAATAAAAATAATAAAAAAAGCAAATAATAAATAAAATTAAAATAAAAAAATAAAGAAATAAAGGAAGAGCAAAACAGCACCACATGGCGCACGAAGAAGTGCCAGAGGACAGAACACAGTAACCGTTGGCATGAGCCAACGGTTTTATTATTGCAAAAAAAAAAAAAAAAAAAAAAAAAAGCCAGTCGTTTTTTTTAACGGGTAGTTGGGTGTTGTAGCACCTGAACCCGGCGCTCATAGGCGCCTTGGTACAGGCACTGAAGAACAGAAAACCAACGGCGCCAGATGGCGCTCAAATGAAAGGAAACGGACTTCGAAGTCCCCAACAAACTGCAGGCACCCGTTTTTCGGGCAGCCGTTTTTTAGGTAAGATTTTCTTTCATTTCTTTCTTTTGTTTCTTTCTAGATTTTCTTAGATTTCTTTTTAGATTTTGTTCTTTCTTTTTTTCTTTCTCTTTTTCTTTCGAGATTCTTTCCCGTTTCAGCACCCGTTCGTTTTGAAAACGGGTAGCTGAGTATTGTAGCGCCTGAACCAGGCACCTATGACGCCTAGGTACAGGTGCACGGGAAGAGAAAAAGGTGAGAGAGAGGGACCTTACCTGGCGGAAGAAGCAACCGCGTCGTCGAAAGCAGGTAAGACTCCAAACTTGTAGTTGGCCTCCAAAGGCAGGATGAGCAAAATCGAATGAATCTTCGGCGGGAACATGGAAACGTACACAGCCACATTCATATGTGTGTGTGTGTATGAGAGAGAGGGAAAGGGGGGGGAAACCACCAAACTAACCTGCGGTTGGCCCCTCCGACCAACTTCCACCGATAGAGTGAGCAAAGTCGAATGAATCTACCCCAAACTATGGGGGTATACAGTCACATAGTGGCTGCGCAGGTGCTAGATTGTTTGGTCGGACTATCACCAACTCGTCAGCAGGGTCACAAGGGGAAAAACGGCAATTGGCCACCACACTGCAGGTAAGTTGTTTTTTTAATTATTATTATTATTATTATTATTTCTTCCAGTTTTCGTGGCCAAACAAGGAAAAACGGGGAGAGGCCTGAAAACGAAGAAAAGAGGCAACGACGCAACTGCCTCGTGAAGAAGAACAGTCTTTTAAGACTGTGTGGGAGCACGAATACTCCCACTTCGTTTTGAGAAGACTTACTGTGGCCGTGAGATCTTGAATCTCGCGGCCCACAGTAAGCGCGCAAAGGAAGGATTGAAGGGGTTGGGAAGAGAGGAGAAACGTAAGAGATGGGAGGGGGAGGTCCTACCCCTCCCAAACTCACAACTGCCCTCCTCGTTTTCAGGGGAGGGCAGAGCAGAAGGAGGAAGGCTGTTGCATACACCAGCACGAACCTGGCTGAGGAAAGAGCCAGGTGCAGAAAAAGTTATAAGTTAGTTTTATTTTTTATTTAGTTTTATTTTTTATTTATTATTTTCTTTTGTTGTTTTCTTTATTCTATGTGAGGACACTTGTCCTCACGTGGTGCTACCTCTGGCGGAAGCTGCCAGAGGTAACTGTCAGGCTCCCATTTTTGAAGGGAGCCTGAAAATTGAAGGGCCACTAAGGACAAGGCTAGGTACAGCCTTTTCCTCGATGTATCTGCCCTGGGAAAAGGCTCCAGATACATCAAACTGTAAGGGGTTGTATCTTTCCAACCCCTTATCAGAAAA